AGGGAAACGGAGATTGTAAGCCGCTCTGAGACTCCGAGTGAAGGGTGGGGTATAAATCCAATCTCTTCTTCTTCTTTCTGATCTTTCTTCAGAAAGAACTTGCAATGTCGCAAAACTTTGTACGAGAGCGTGCAGATATGCAAGCAGACGGCTAAGTCTTTAGAGAAGGCTTGGGCTGTAATGACACCTTTAAATTCATTTGCTGATCTTAGTATTGTACATTGCAAGGATCTGACCTGATTCTGTAGCGAAATAAACTGAACTGAATGAAGAGTGTCAGAGACCCGGGTTCGAATCCCCACTCGCACCACGGAAGCTCGCAGGGTGACCTTGCGCCAGGCAGTAGTCTTTTCAGCCTAACCTACCTCACAGGGATGTTGTGAGGATAAAGTGGAGAAGGAGGAGGTTTCCTGTTGCATCATAACATGGCAAGGCTTTAGATCTTGCTCCAGAGGATGAGGTCAAAGCGGGTTAGAGGTTTCCCACGGCTGGGCTTTTTTGTGATGGAGCCAGACGTGAGCCCAGCGTCTCACTTGAGAGCTGGGACTGGGGTTGCCAACTCTGGGTTGGGAAATTCCTGGAGATTGGAGCGTGGGCCTTGGGGAGGGGAGGAGTACCCATAGGGTCCATCCTCCAGAGGAGCTGTTTTCTCTACGTGACCCAACTGTTGCCATCTTGGAGATCAGTTGTGATGCCGGGCAATTTCAAGCCCCACCTGGAGTCTGGCAACCCAGGTTGAGCCCCACCATCCGTTTAGGGGGCAGTAAAGTCAAACCAGGGGGGCCGCGGTGGCTCAGAGGTGAAGACGCTGAGCTGCCGACCGGAAGGTCGTTCGTTCGGCAGTTCGAGACCCGAGTGCCGCGTGACGGAGTGAGCTCCTGTCTCCGCCCCCTGCCAACCGAGCCGTTTGAAAGCAAAGAAATTGCAAGTAGATAAATAGGTACCTTCCGCTGATAAATAGGTACCACAAGAGAGAAGAGATCCGCTCCCTCTTCTACATGACAGTCCTTCAGATACTTGAAGACTGCAATCATGTCCCCTCTAAGCCTTCTCTTTCCCAGGCTAAACAGACCCAACTCTTTCAGCCTGTCCTCATAAGTCTTGCATTCCAACCCTCTCACCATCCTGGTTGCCCTCTTCTGGACACGCTCGAGCTTCTCAACATCCTTCCTAAAATGTGGTGCCCCAAACTGGACACAGGACTCCAGGTGAGGCCTGACTAGAGCAGAACAGAGCGGAACGACCACCTCCCATGATCTGGACACAATGCTTCTGTTCATGCATCCTAAGATTGCATTCGCTTTCTTCGCAGCCACATCACACTGCGGGCTCATGTTTCGCTTGTGATCAACCAGAACACCCAGGTCCCTTTCACATGTGCTGCTGTCAAGCCAAGTCCCTCCCATTCTATATCTGTGCCTTTGATTTTTCTGTACCTAGGTGCAGGACTTTGCACTTATCGCTATTGAAATTCATTCTATTTGCCACGGCAAAGCAACAGGCACGGAGAAAGACAGGTTGGAACAGAAGCCTTTGATCGTGTTCACCATGTTTTTATGGCTGAGCAGTCTTTTTCAGGACTTTGCACTTATCTCTATTGAAATTCATTCTATTTGCCACGGCAAAGCAACAGGCAGGGAGAAAGACGGGTTGGAACAGAAGCCTTTGATCGTGTTCTTTTTCTTTCAAATGGCCCCCAGTAGGGGATTTTTTATTTGCATCCTTCCTGAGCTGAGACAAAAATGTGTGAGCCAGAGGCTAAAAAACTGTGAGCTAGCTCACACTAATTCAGCTTAGAGGGAACACTGGTTGGAGGTCACATACAGCTTGTAAAAAGTTTGCTTAGCCATGGTAAAAAGCTTTCTTTAACATTGAGAGTGATCATTCATCTTCATAGCTTGCGAAAACTTCCCAAGAAATCTGACTATATGAAGAGTAATCCAGGAGAATCGCTATTTAACTTAGGCCCAAATTTCAGAGAACAATGGCATCTCATTTAACCGTTATTTCCCCCTCCACCATTAAAAGCAAAATAACTGCGAGTCTCCCTCAGTAGATATTACACAGTCTCATTTTCTCTTCCATTGCTGTTTTCCTCTTTCTTCTCCCCTGGTTAACCATTATTTTTCCCTCCACCATTTAAAGCAAATTAACAATAAGTCTCCCTCAGTAGATATTACACAGTCTCATTTTCTCTTCCATTGCTGTTTTCCTCTTTCTTCTTCCCTGTGCCGCCACCTTGCTGTATCAGGAACTGGCCATCTCAAAACAAAGTCCCTTCTACTTTTTCCAGGACTGTTCCGCTTAAATTCTTGCCTTCAATCATAGGGGTCTCGTTCCAGTTTGCTTTTCACTGCCCGGCTTGAAGAGAGTCTCGTCACCTTATTGCCCATCAGACTTGATCAGGATATAACCACGGAGCAGTCTGTGGTGGCTTCTTCTTAACGCAGACGGAGCTTTTTCGCACCCCTCTCGCCAGGGCAGCTGGCAGGCTTGTGTGTCTTCAGGCGTTTGTGTCCATGGGATATTTTGCGATGGGAGTTTCTCCCCGGTGGCTTCCCGGGCACACCTGTTGCTCCCCAGGAGACCTTCCACCTGCTGCAGGTTGCCGACTGGGCTCCCGAAGGAGCCGGTGCTAAAAATGGCACGGCTGCCAGTTGAAGGGGCGGGAGCAATGCTCCCTCTAAGCTGTGGAGTCTTGTGAGCAAAAATTCTACTTTGTGAGCTACTGGCATTAAAGTTGTGAGCGAGCAATTTGACTACTGAACAAAGAGTGATTGACACCTGGAACTCACTGCCACAGGAAGTGGTGGCGGCTACAAGCATGGACGGCTTCAAAAGGGAATTAGATAAGCATATGGAGCATCTTTTTCTTTTCTTCTGACAATAGCACCTCCTAAAGGAATAAATGCATCTTGTTCTTGCATTGGAGAGTTCAGTTTGTAACCTAGGACTTGCTTGTCCTCAGTGCACAGAAATTAGATCAATCTGATACCTTAATTAATTAATTAATTAATTAATTTTATTTATACCCCACCCTCCCTGCGTGCGAGAAATGATCTCAAAAATATTTGAACACCTTGTCTTAAAGTATTGTATTAATCATGTTAAAATAAAACGTTCCATAATCAATTTTTTTTCTTTTCTGTTTTCAATTTTTCGGAAAAAAACAAAAAGGCTTCAGGAAAAAAATGGGAAAAAAACGGCTTTCCCCCCGAATTTTTCCAGTTTTTTTCTGGGCCGTCACATCTCTAGTCAGGAGCAATGCTCCCTCTAAGCTGTGGAGTCTTGTGAGCAAAAATTCTACTTTGTGAGCCACTGGCATTAAAGTTGTGAGCGAGCGATTGGGCTGCTGCATCAGTCGGCTTGCTCTGGGGCCGCCACCCTTCCTGAGCTGAGATAGAAATGTGTGAGCCGGAGGCTAAAAAACTGTGAGCTGGCTCGCACTCACTCAGCTTAGGGGGAACACTGGTCAGGAGCAGGGGGGGGTTGGCCGTCTGACTGCCGCTTCCCTAACCCTCTTGCGGGGAAGGAGGGCACAAAGAGAGGACAGAAGGGTGGCGGCTTCCTTCTTAATTCCCTGTGGAAATCCAGACTCGGGGGTGGATTTAGATGCCGAGGAGATCAAGGAGTGGTTGTGGTTCCGCTTTCCTTCAACCGTCCTTTTTTAACAGGTGCGGGTCTGCTGTTGTTTTTATCCTGATGTACTTCCCCCGGGGAGGGGAGGGGAGGGGAGTTGGCTCAGGGGCAGAGCATCTCGTTCGGCATGCAGAAGGTCCCGGGTTCAATCCCTGGATTCTCCAGCTAAATGGACCAGGCAGGAGGTGATGGGAAAGACCTCTGCCTGAGACCCTGGAGAGCCATGGAGAGGGGATGTGGCTCAGTGGCAGAGCCTCTGCTCGGCGGAGAGGGGCTGTGGCTCAGTGGAAGAGCCTCTGCTTGGCAAGCAGAAGGTCCCAGGTTCAATCCTCGGCATCTCCAGTTGAAAAGGACCAGGCAGGAGGTGATGGGAAAGACCTCTGCCTGAGACCCTGGAGAGCCATGAAGAAGGGCTGTGGCTCAGTGGTAGAGCCTCTGCTTGGCATGCAGAAGGTCCCAGGTTCAATCCCCGGCATCTTCAGTTAAAAAGGCCCAGGCAGGAGAAGATGTGAAAGAGCTCTGCCTGAGACCCTGGAGAACTGCTGCCCAGTTAAACACCGCTGTCCTTGACAGAGTGACGAACCTTGTCCATATTGATGTTGCCTCACGGTAGCACACTGTCAAACAAGTTACATAAAATTATTGCACAGGGCGCAACATAAAATTATTGCACTCAGAGGATACACATTCTCAATATATTATGCCAATTTTAATAAATTCCCTGGGCCGATCGGAGCAATTCTGCACTACCCTCCTCCTTTCAGACTTTTCTGAGGAAATAACTGGTAACATAACAAAATATTGCATAATGGCATGTGCAGTATGGCAGCAGATAGTTAAGTCTTCAAATATCTAACCCCCTCTCACTGTGAAATGTATGTGAGAATGTGGGATTGTAATGGCACATACAAGTCCTTTATGTTGGTCTTGGTATTGTATGTGGCAGATTTTTATTGTTTTTGATTCATTTTTTTTTAGTAATACTTTTTGAGCTGATCTTCTCTCAAAATAAACTGAACTCTGCATGAAGTTATTGCACATAGAGTAACTTGGAGTTATTGTACATAGAGTAACTTGGAGTTATTGTACCTAGAGTAACTTGGAGTTATTGTACCTAGAGTAACTTGGAGTTATTGCACCTAGAGTAACTTGGAGTTATTGCACCTAGAGTAACTTGGAGTTATTGCACATAGAGTAACTTGGAGTTATTGCACCTAGAGTAACTTGGAGTTATTGTACCTAGAGTAACTTGGAGTTATTGTACCTAGAGTAACTTGGAGTTATTGCACCTAGAGTAACAAAATGGGAAATCCTTCTTTGTACCTAATTTTATTCCCTCTTCTCTCTCCTTCCTTCCACAGCTTTTGAAAACCCACAATTTATTGACTACTCGGAATTACATTTTGGGCTACCACCCGCATGGAATCTTTGGACTCGGTGCCTTTTGCAACTTCGGCACGGAAGCCACAGGCATGGGCCAGAAGTTTCCCGGGATCAGGCCGTACCTGGCCACGCTTGCTGGCAACTTCCGATTGCCCATTCTGAGGGACTACTTAATGTCGGGGGGTAAGAACTGAAGCCCCCCCTGCTGTCTAACTGGAGACCTTTTACTTGCGATTAAGACCTATTGAGTTAAATGATGCCACATCTTCCGTGGGTTCATTGCCTACTGTGTGAGATGTTAACCTGAGAGGGCCCACGTTCGAATCCCCGCTGCAGCCATGAGCTTGCCTTCATCAAGTCACTATCTGTCTGGGTCAATCTAGATGTCACAGTGTCAGTCTCGTACATTCCCGTTCACACGCAGCTGCCTGTTAAGGAATGCAAGGATGAAGGAAGGGTTGTGGGTGGGGTCCCGGAGAGAGACATTAAAAAGAAAAATAAGGCTTTGTCTCCTTACAGGAAGTTCTGATCATAGAGTTTCTGGCAATTCCCAGAGCTACCTGGAAGTGACGTAGTGTAGCTCTAGGAATCGCCAGGAACTCTGTGGTCAGAACTTCCTGTAAGTAGACGAGGCCTCATTTTTCTTTTCAGTGTTTCTCCCCAGGGTGATCTGCCGCCCCGGTTTCCGTCTGCCAATCGAGTGAGCATCAGCAGGCAAGGGCAAATGGGAGCTCTCGATGGCGGTCTCTCCCCATATGCAGGCAAACGGGAACCCTCGATGGAGAGGTCTTTGTCCCTTCTTCTCCCTTTCCTTGTTGTGCTTCATGGCTCCAAACATCTTACTCCGTGGGGCCCCAAGCAGCATAGGGTTGAGTGTGTCAGACAGTGACCCGAGGGACCCAGGTTCCAATCCCGGCTCAGCCGTGAAGCTCCCAGGATGACCTAGGGACAGGCGGCTTAACTGCCCTCACAGGGGCTGATCCCTTTTGGGGGTGGGTGGAAACAGCAGGATACAAATGTCCTTGGGTCGCCCGAATCACCTCCCAGCATCAGAGCCGACCCGGGCGCAAAACACTTCAAGCAACCGAGATCTGGCTCCCCTCGCCCCCATACGCTGCAAAAAGTTAACTGGATATCAACCCGCATGCAAGAGCTGCTACCAGTGTTCCCTCTAAGCTGAATGAGTGTGAGCTAGCTCACAGTTCAGTAGCCTCCGGCTCACACACATTTCTGCCTTCGCTCAGGAAGGAGGGCTCCAGAGCAAACTGATTTGTGCAGTAGCCAAATCGCTCGCTCACAACTTTAATGCCAGCAGCTCACAGGGTAGAATTTTTGCTCACAAGACTCCACAGCTTAGAGGGAGCATTGGCTGCTGCTGCCCTGAACAGCCCTCTAGAGAATCTCAGCATTCAAAAGGCTAGAGAATCTGAACAATGAGAAGAGTTTTCGGCTAAACATCAGGAAGAACTTCCTGACAGTCAGAGGGGTTCCTCAGTGGAACAGGCTTCCTCAGGAGGTGGTGGGTTCTCCTTCTTGGGAGGTTTTTCAAACAGAGGCTAGAGCCAGTTTGGTGTAGTGGTTAAGTGCGCGGACTCTAATCTGGGAGAACCGGGTTTGATTCCCCACTCCTCCACGTGCGGCGGCTGGGTGACCTTGGGCCAGCCATAGTTCTGTCAGAGCTGTTCTTGAAAAAGAGCAGTTTCTGTCAAGAGCTCTCTCAGCCCCACCTACCTCACCGGGTGTCTGTTGTGGGGAGGGGAAGGGAAAGGAGTTTGTAAGCCGCTCTGAGACTCCGAGTAGTGAAGGGCGGGGTATAAATCCAATCTCCTCTTCTTCCTCTTTTACCTCACAGGGTGTCTGTTGTGGGGAGGGGAAGGGAAAGGAGTTTGTAAGGCAGGAAGGGTTGCATCCAATGTTCCCTTTAAGCTGTGGAGTCTTGTGAGCAAAAATTCTACTTTGTGAACTACTGGCATTAAAGTTGTGAGTGCGCGATATAGATGCTGCATTAATTAGTGTGCTCTGGAGCCCTCCTTCCTGAGCAAAGACAAAAATGTGTGGGCCGGAGGCTAAAAAACTGTGCGCTTAGCTCACACTAACTCAGGTTAGAGGGAACGTTGGTAGCATCAGTGTTTAATTCTCGGGGCCCTTTCTTACACGCCCAGGGAAATGCCGGTCGCCACGTTGGGGTCAGGAAGCAATTTTTCTCCAGGCCAGTTTGGCCGAGGGCCCTGGAGTTGGGTTTTTTTTTGGTCATCTTCCGGGCATGGCCACTGGGTGTGTGTGTGGGGGGAGGTATTTGTGAATTTCCTGCATTGTGGAGGTTGTTGGACTAGATGACCCTGGAGGTCCCTTCCAACTCTATGATTCTACGATTCTCTGTTTAAAGGGCTAGAGACTCTCAACCTTTAAAGGACCACTTCATAAGAACATAAGAGACGCCAATTTTGGATCAGGCCAAAGGCCCCTCCAGTCCAACACTCTGTCACACAGTGGCCAGAAATACCAGGTGCCATCAGGAGGTCCAGCAGTGGGGCCAGGACACTAGAAGCCCTCCCACTGTTGCCCTCCCCCAAGCACCAAGAAGACAGAGCATCCCTTGCCCCAGAGCCCCTATCTATACCTTGTGGCTCATAGCCACTGATGAACCGACACTTCGTGTCTGGCTAGTTGCTTTTATAGGGCAAGCTGTCCCGGCACACGGTCATGTGGTCACGGTCAAAGCGGGGCTTTCCTTTTGAGCCCTGCTTTGCCGGCTGACCGGCTTAGCCGTTCGGCCTGAGGCTCTCCGCGGCCGCCAGAAGAGGACCCTGAAGGACCCCGGCTGGGATCAGGGAGCTGTCTGTGGCCTGTCGCTCTCTCTGCAGGGTTGCGTGAGGCCGGCAAAGGCAGAAAGGGATTCCTGGTGCGAAAAAGGGATCGCATCTCCGTCCCCTCGGAGACATGCCGGGGCTTTTTGGTGTGAACACCCCTCCAATGTGAAAGGGACCATCTGGCTTACATTCTCCCCCTGTTTGTGAATCTGGCCTTCCGTTGTAAGCCGATTAGCCTGCTTGGAAGGGGGCCGTGGAGGCTAAGGAGGGAGCGGCTGAGCGATCGGAGCAGCTGCCAAAATCCTCTGCCAAAGCCCCACATTGAACACGTACGAAAGCGGCCTTATCCAGAATCAGAACCTTGGTCCATCAAGGTGGGTTGTGTCTGCTCAGACTGGCAGCAGCTGTCCAGGGTCTCAGGCAGAGGTCTTTCCCATCACCTGCTGCCTGGTCCTTTTAGCTGGAGGCGCTGGGGATTGAACCTGGGACCTTCTGCATGCCAAGCAGAGGCTCTTCCACTGAGCCACGGCCCCTCTCCAGGGTCTCAGGCAGAGGTCTTTCACACCACCTGCCTCTTGGTCCTTTTAACTGGAGATGCCAGGGATTGAACCTGGGACCTTCTGCATGCCAAACAGATGCTCTGCCACTGAGCCACAGTCCCTGCCTATGTTTCTCCAGGGTCTCAGCCTGAAGTATTTCCCATCATCTACTGCCTGGTCCTTTTAACTGGAGATTATGGGGATTGAACCTGGGACCTTCTGCATGCCAAGCAGACGCTCTT